CAACAAGTTACAGATTTTTAATCAATAACTACCTTCGCTGGCTCCATACTGAAGGTCAAATGGTGGGAGCCCGGCCAGAAAGAATTAGCGACAAGAAACTTTGACAATGAACGAAGCAAACACAAGTTGATCACTTGTAGGAGAAAATAGACGTGAATCGGGTGTACGTTGTGGAGGTCATCGAAAGACATCGTGCGTAAAGCAGGCCATCGCTCCAGTAGAATCCCAATAGAAAGCGACGTGTGGGTTTTCAGTGAGTGGGTGACATACAGGAGGATATCGTGAGAGGAGGATATGAGAGATTATTATCAATCGGTGATACAGTTGAAGAGGATAGGAGAATGTAGAACGAAGTCAAGATGTGTTGTTAAGCCCTATGTTTTACTCTGCACCCAAGGGAATAATAATAAAATCACGTTATTATTTCACTCTCCTCTCTTCAGTATCCATCAGCAGTCTCATTAATCGCTTTCATTTCCTCCTTAAATGACCTGCTCCATGTTACTGTTGGAAGTACTCCCAACTCTTTGTTTCTCATTCGAGTTTCACTGAAGACCTCTTCAGGTGATGCTTCTCATTGTTCTTAAGGTGCCGTTCTTAAGGTATGTCAAATCCACCTCTTTTTTCTCCGGGATATTTTTTGGACTGTTAGGCTACTGGTTTGTATGTTACACTGCCGTAATTCCTTATTGCTTATCCATTGTAACCGGACATTCGATGTTGGGTATGAGCCGAAGGCATCTGTTAATAAAAGATGAAAGAAAATTCTGTTGTTATTGTGAAGTTACTCCGCTTTATATGAATGAGGTCACTGCTAAGTAGCACACTAACTTACATGTCTTTGTTTACGCAGCTGCCAACAAAGTTTGTGAAAATCGGGCAGTGCAAACAACTGTAGTACAATATACAAGTCTCACACTTTTGTTCAGATTTCGTAGTTGAGGTTTTTGAGGATCTTGATAGATTTCGTTGTACGGAACTTAAAATGTGGATCTTGACCTGTAGCTAACCAGGAGGTCCCTAAAGTTATATGGAAAAGTCGTTACTGAGTCTGGGCCAAAGATATCAGGATGGAGTGAATGCTCACTATCAGCGCCATCTCTTGGCGATACCGCTACATAGCACATCAGAGGGTCAGTGACTTGAAGATGGTGAGTTCAATTCTCAATAAGCTCAAAAGCCAACATTGCTTAAGAGTCCTAAATTAGGGAAAAATATTTATTCAGCGAATAGTGAGTTTTTTCTAACGGTGATTTCCTAACTGATGTTGGTTATTGGCAGAATGCACATCAACATTTTATCTAAAATTCCACATAATCACTAAATATTCTGATATTACCTTATTGCATACTAGTTCAGTATATCTGGATATTTTGTTGGTCATCCGATGGTGAATTTATAATAAAATTCACTAAATCAGCGATAGACGAGCCAGCAATCTATAGAATAAAGGCATTGGCTCAGCAGTTATTGCGATGACTTAAATGGTAGGATGCCTGTCAAACAAGTGGGATATCCGAGTTCGACTTCCAGTCGACAGGTGCAATTCTGAACCTCGCTAACCAGTAGTGATTCTGGAGAAGAGGGAAAGTCATGAATGAAGCTAGGAGCCCCACTGCTTGATATTGATACTGGAACTTCGAAGGTTGAAGCTACACTTGGGACTGAAGGAATGAGAAAAAAATGTGCTCAGTTGCATATTATTATTATTTTTTTGATTAAAGCTTGACTCCACACAGTACCTTTTGAAAAAGTATGGAATTTTCAGCATGTGATATCGGTAGAGGAAATTTTGCAGGCCAACCATTGATATCAGGTATGCGTCGGCAGGAGATCGAACCCCGGACCATGTGCATGGTCGGCGACAGTCCTAACCACTGTGCCACCGACGCATTCACATGACACATATGGACATCATGGACAGTGTCTGAATCGAAATAATACCCTGGTAGTATCTGGTTGTCGCAGGTCACCTAGTACAGCGTGAGGTTAGTAATCCGGTTGTCAGTTGTTTTAACTACACTCCATCAACAGATGCTTTCGTTTTGACAGAATCACACAAAATAAATGCTGACAATTTGTATGCCTTATCTGAATTAATTAACCCCATCTAGCATGTATTGAAACTGTTACTTTCTATATACACATAGAACCATAGGAAATTATTAAAAAGACGGTTTTAGACGAAGCCATCAACTAGGCTGTACATTCGTGTATTTATAGTAAATACGTGAGAAATTTCCAGAATTATTTCCGGTTAAAGGTTAAATTAATAAAATTACTAAGTGTAATAATTAGGAAGATTGGGTAGAAAAGACACAACAAGGTCATAATTACTGAAAAAGTTGACTGTTTCTACAAATTACGGATTAAGGATGTAGTAATAACAAAATAGGTAGGAAGATCGGGCACAGAGAAATAAAAGAGCAGCGACCAAATCTAGTAATACAGATAGGAATTAAAAATTTGAAAATAACAGAAATAAACAGAGGAGTTAGACAAGAAAGTTAATTGGATAATCATTACTCGCGGGACTAATTTATGCTGGCCACGGTAGGGACAATGGTTGGACGCATTTCTTTTGAATGCATAGCATGGGCTTGAGTTTGTGGATTGCCAGTACCTAAGCTATTCCTAGATACATCGATTTCACTCAATTTGGAAAGGTTTGATCTGATCCTATATATGACTCTGGAGGACATATTAAGTAGAGCTGAATGTTCTGAATTCGCCAGTTGTTCTGTTACCTAACCGTATACACCCTTGAGTTCTTGATCACGTTTTACAACTGGAAATTATTTTGGAACTTTCTCACACACTTACCACAAATACACGAATGCACAGCCTTTGTCGAAAAGAATTTTTTCATCGCTGTAGTTGTATTTTCCAAGGGTTTCTGCTACTGAGCTTCCAAAGTGTCTATTCAGTCCGCCACTATTTTATTTGGTTATTTATCGTATCTGATGTAACTATGAAAGGCAGTTTGCTTAGACGACTAAACTGTGAGGAACCAGTCATCAAACATAGTGCCAAATCCAACTTTTCGTTATTATTAGCAAACCGATTTTGATGATGAAGTGGTTTCACCTCTGTTGTTGTAATAATGAACTGTGGTTTCCTCAATCTATGTATAATTCTATTTATTGATAATGTACTAACTGGATGCAATACTGTAGTAAAAATGCTGAGAATTCCATTCTGTATCACATGTGCTGTTTTGGAATAAAGCAAATTATTATTATTATTACTTGACCTTAGAGTAATTATATAAGATCTAGTAAGGTAATTTGCTGTCTTTAACTGGCTTTCATTTCTAAGAAAACACCGAGTACTTTGGAAAAGAATTTATCATTCTTGAAAAGATTTTGAAAAACACAGTTTACCCTCAGAGATTCACTAACAAATATGGAATATGTTAAGTCTCAAATACCATACAAATCATAGTGTGAGGAAAGCTTGCCTTCATTCAACTTGATTTTAAAGGTAATAATATTACAGTAATAGTCAAAAGAAGAATGAGCGCGTCACTAGCCAGGGCTATCCTGCAGATAAGTTGGATCCCAATTATCGTACAACTTGTTCTTTGGTGCAGTCAAAAGTTGATAGATACCCTTCTCATGTTAACTCCAATTGAGTCTACAAATTTACATGTAACTGCGGGAGCAGTTACTTTGGAAGAACAGAAAGCAGGGCACACCTTCAATTTTCTGAAGATTTGTTGAAAAGTCCGCGTCTCAATGAGACAAACGCTTACAAGAGTGTCATCGCGATGCATCTCTTCGATACGGGTCATGAGGTGGAAATCGTAAATTCTTTTAAAAGTTATCAATAGACAAAAAATTGTATTTCTCCTCAAGTTTGCCAAAACAATATCTATTAAACACCTGAAACCTGACTGATATGTTCAAAAAGAAGCAGAAAATAGTATTTCCTGGCACATCTGTTGACGTAATTTTTGGCTTTAACCTCACCCCTCTCCTTTTTGACAAAGTGTAATTTTGCAGGTGTTTTGTTTCTTTGATTTTAGTTGAGCTCAGTTAATTGTCACCCAATTTATTGGTTGCTCATTATCTTTCGTACCTCTCATTTTTATTACGTAATTCCTTTACCATTGTATGCATACATTTACTTTGTTTAAATTTGAACTTTTTGTGTAAAAACTATATAAGTGTAATTTTCTGAGCACTGTTAACGACATAGAGTAGTGTCTGCCTGCGAAAAATGTTCATCGTTACTAGTTTTACTGGTGATAGCAATTTCATTATAGGTATATTTGTACATGTATCACTAGTTGTATGTGGTGTTTAAAAATGTAAATGCAGAGAGACTACTGAATATCCGCCTACGAATGCTGAATATGTTTGGCATGTAGTTGGCTCTTTTCACGTTTGTTCTCAAACAACTCCTAATTGATGAATGGATAAGCAGGAAAATGATTGAGGGCATAGATCCCTTCATTCATTTCGGAACATGAACGCGGTAGCAATCCTTGGAGTTATTGGTGTTAATCTTAGTGGGGAAGTTTAGACTTCTGTGTGAAGGATCCTGAAGAGGAGTTATGCTGTTGGAGACTTTATCATAAAGTGTCAGTATTAGCTAAGATGACGTGGTATATGCTTTTGGATCCTGGAATCACTGGAGTACACCTTACTTGATATACATGTAAACAACGGATACAAGGAAGTGCACTAATCTTTCTGTGCTTTGAAAGACTTATCCTTCAATTTTCCCGGCTTAATTCACCTAACTTCAATCCTTGGTCACTTAGCCAGTCACATAACTGTAAAAATTGAGTTTCAGAGTGCATAACTTGTGTGATAGATAACCTATATTCTTCCTATGTTTAAGACATAGGAATTAAAATTAGGTATAGTGGATTCACTTTATTTCCTTTATAAATTATGAATTATACTGATCATCGAGTTTACAGTTAGTGAAGCGACTTGTTTAACAGTGTCACTGAAATAATAAATGTTTCTATATTTACTAATTATTTGTAGACTATTTGTTCTCAAACCGCTTCTTCACTCAAATTACCGTGTATACCAGAAACCCCGGAATATCTGTTGAATTCAGTCACTCTCTCCCGCACTCGCAGCGCTCATGAGTTAGCCACAGTTCCTCTCAAAATAAGATTTGCGAAGAATTCATCTCTTGCTCATTCCGCGAATACTTCTTTCTTGTCACGTAATCCTGTCCCAATGATTGACAAGAGGACTGACCACAAACATAAAACCTCCGCGGCTAAACGATTACATATGCGTTTGAAACATGCTGTTTCTTATGATTTAGAAATGAAGGTTGCTCGCTTTGCAGAAGCCTATCCAGCAGTGAAGGATACTTCAAGAGACTCAGTTTTGAGCGATGAGAAATCTGAGAAGTCTGTATGGCACAAAGATGGACAATAAAAGAAAAAGCGAAATACGAAATTTGGATTTTATTGCTTTGCACACATTTTGTTTGTACAGTTTATACAGTTTACAGATTTACATTACCCATTTCTTCACTTTCTAAATTTGCAGTTACCCTTTTTTAATATTGTATACTTTCAAATGATACCATGTAAAATTTGCAATTATGTTGAAACTTTTCTGTATATGAACTTAATTATAATTTATTTGAGCTTTAAGCTACTGAGTTAATGATGAGGATCCAACGAAATAAGCAATGATGGTACCACATTATTCTTCAAAAGACTGCTATTCTTGCTTTATTCAAGTGCTTTGTGAAACTGTGGAATGAAGGAATAATCACAAAATTCGCTTGTTAAAACCTGGGACACCTTAACTGATAAACTTGATACTTTGAATATATAATACAAATGAATAAACCTTCATGTATTTTGGCAAATGTACTCAGAAATATATTTTTTTAAGTTAACAGAAGGCTCTACACTGGAGATATTAAACATAGTGGGGGCGCGAGAGAAATAATGATTAATTACAGTTTGCGTGTGAACAACAGTCAAGTGACATAATCCGGATTAAGCTAAATAGACTTAATTATGCATGCAGAACGAAACACCTAAAAGTTACTGATTAGGCGTGATTTTGATTGACAGGCGATGAAATATTCTAAGTGCGATGCCTATTTATACTTAAATGAGACAATAAGCGCTGAATAAAAAGTCTTCATTTCTGTCACTAAACAAGCAATAAATGTTGTTGGTGAGGCGGAATCCTATGAAGTTATTTTAGTTGACAGTGAATGGCAGTAGAATAGACGGTACTCATTTCTTTCTATTTGGAACTTTATGTGCTTGCAAGCTTCAAGGAAGCATAGTGTTTCCCCTGGGACTCAAACCATACATCCATCATTTCAAAAGCCAAACCATCATCTACTAGTTCCATATTAGATAAGTTTGTTTCAAATATCATACAGTGATGATGCAGTATTAACAACTGGATGGAAAGGTTTCAAGCATAAATTACTGCCAGACTTATACATATTTACTCTCTTTCTGTCTCTCCAACTTCCCATTGTTGTTTGTTACCAACTTCTACATCTCTGGTATAGGCGTCGCATCATTCCAATTGCATGTGTGCGGTGCTGAATCGGTAAACAAGGCTTTAGTGATTAAATTCTCCCTCTCTCTCTCTCCATCTAACTACATTACTTTTCAATTCTTTCAGCCTGTCTCACCCAACCTATTGTGTAGTTACATGAAAGTGGATGCAATGCAATAGTTGAGCTGTTTTCCAGATTATTTAACTCAACAGGGTCAATCATTCTACGTTTAACTAGCTGAATTTTATGTTTCAATAATCCAACTGATGCCGATCTACTAGTCTGATCTATGTAATTGACCTCACCAACAGTCATTACGTGGTATTTGATAAATTATTTTATGTTTTTTAATTTGATCTATCGGGTCCTTAGCCGACAAAGTTTGTCTCTGAGATAGTCGACTAATTGGTTTGAATACCATCCTAATTCCAGCCTCATTGAGAATACTACGTAAGTCCTATGACGTTCCTTCTTTATACGGCAGTACTACAGAAGATTTGAATTCTATATAATTGATAATCTTAGTTTTTCTATGCCTCATGCATTAGGTCACTAGTGCTAAAACGTAATCTGACTAACGAGTACAAATCTGTCGTTCATTTGAGGAAACTGTTAGGAGACTTTAAAATTGATTACACATCGTCTATATGCTCTGAAAAGATGGTTACGACGAAAGACTGTGATTTCTCATCTCTTTTAACAAAGTATAGGATGTTCATCTTACTGGAATTCTGAAACTTATGAACTGTACAATCTTTTCACAGTATCCATTTAATTACGCATTTTCTCCCTTTTCACCTCAAAAATGCAACCAGCAGTTAATAATTCCATAAAATAAAAAGGCTGTAGCTTCTTCAAGAATAAACATTGGTCGCCTTTGCGCCAGTAGCACATCTTTAATTTGTCTTGTTATCTGCATCCATCGTTAGCTGAATATACGTGTGACCACAAGCTGTCACCTCCTTCTAACGCGACTTCCTCAGTGTAAGCCTCAGACTGGCACCAAACTCATATTTAGTTTCCACTGAAGGGTCTGCCAAGCAATGTCGGTCAAAAGTTTCCTCAGTGTGAATCAAATTAACCTCCATTTTCCTGGCTAATAGGTTTCTGATTGACTTAAGCCCAGAGTTTTTCGTTGCTAATCCTTTCTGGCCCTCTGATCTTCAACATGAGGCGAAGGCAGCCGTTGATAAAAGTCTGAAGCTGGCTAAGTATCCTAAGTCTCCGGACCGTAAAGAAGAACAATTGCTACCTAGATAAGCGGAGGAACCTGCGTCGATCAAATTTATCCCCTTGATAACGATTGGTGATTGTTATTGTTGTTGTCAGTTAGGGTATCTTCATCACCATTGTATTCTCTAGTTTCACCTGAAGTCCTATCTTCACTGCTTCTTCTTGCAACTTGTTGAGTTTAATCAGTAGGTCTTCGAGTTTATGACACATAAGGCATAAATTTTCTGCAATTTGCAGATATTACACAGCCTTGTCGTCGGTCAAAAGTACTCGTAACGTTTCCCTTTTCACAGTCAGCCACATGACCGACTGAGTCAAAATTTAGAATATTATCGGTGATTTTAGTTAAACTGTCATTACACCCGTCTTCACTATAAAGAATACGCTGAGCTTTCCGTTGTGAATAATAATAATAGTAACATAATAATGCGGTAACTATAAATACCCTGACTGCCTCAATCACTTTACATGGGAATACTCTGAATTAGTATTCACACAGAGATTAACAAGATACTTTATAATTTATTTTATACCTCTGCCTTCCTGGTGGAATATAAAGGCTTCAAGCTAGAGCTCTGAAGTTTCCATAGCAGTGGTGTTTATTTCTAAGGGATGGAGTTGCTAGCCTTCCCTCTTTAACACTCTTATTACTCGTTAAGCGAGGTAAATAAGAGTGAGTAGTTGGTCGGATATCTAAACCCAAACCTACTGCGTGGTTGGCGAACATACTGCCGCTGTGTCAGCGACTCACACAGAAGCAGCAAGGAAGCATATACACTTTTAACTTTATTGTATTAGCTTGCACATGACAAGGGAATGTGTTTACTAACATTGATTCTAATTACATCCAAGTTAAACTTTCCATGTTCATTTCGAGCATCACGGAATAATGATCTCAGGATAAGATATAAACCAGGATCATTTCCACCAAATGATAACACAGATTGATTGATTGATTGATTGATCTATGATGTATTACTGGAAGCATCCTGTGCTGGTAGACAACCGCCTTCTGTTTGATTAGGTATGATAGTTAAACTAGGCAACAGGCTGGGACTTGTATTACTACCTTGTTGATTTGAATGTGTATTGATGGTACTCAGTGTACCAGGTGTAATAGAAAACGATGTAAACTTTACGGAATCAGTGTCAATGCTACCCATACTGCTTCCTAAAGGATTCGAATAGCAGGAATAGTAACAATAAAGATAGTAATCGAAGTAATAAGGGAAAGGTACATAGAATAACTAAATCAACAAAATAAATAAAAAAAATAAATGCCTATCCCTCTACGGTCAAGGCAGAAGTAGGCATTGTACATACTTCTTTTGTACACAAAGTCTGGCTTAAATTCAAGAATTGTCAAGGCTTCCTCCATGAGATCACCACTGGGTCATTTGCTGGCTCATTGTTTTATGACAAAGCTTGAAAGCTCTCAACTTAGTCAAAGCATCGATCATTTCGACACTTTCGTTATCTGCGATAGAAATGTAATTCTTGAAGATGTCTCGTTTGCTTTCAACAACTGCCATCCTTCTTTACAATTCACCATAGAAAAGAGATCTGAACTAAGTATTCCATTTCTTTGCGTGCTTTAGTAGACGTAACGAGGGATCTCTCAAAAGATCTATCCACCGGAAATGTACATGGAATAGACAACTAACTAATTTTTATAGTTGGGTGTCTATCTCCAGGAAAAGGAACCTAATGCATTTACTCCGCTTTAGTATAAGAAACATTTGTAGTTCTGATTGCGTTGACTCAGAACTTGACTTTCTAAAAGCCACGCTAGCAGAAAACGGTTACCTAAACCGATTCATTGACAGTAACACGAAAGATAAGCAGTCTAAACTGGTCACCGACTCAGTTCCAAAGAAAACCTTATTCATGAACTTGGAATTCAAAGGTGATCAAGCTTCAGATTTGCTCAAAAATTGTCTCTCTAAAGCAGTCAGTAAGATGTTCTTTGCAGCAAAATTAAAATTGACGTTCACTAGCCGCAAGTTGTTCTCCATCTCTATAAAAGATATGCACCCTCATCAGACCACCTGCATGTACATCTATCAGTTCACCTGCTCTTTTGGAGCAAAGTACACTGTCCGTAGCCAGAGGACGCTTTCCACACGGATACGAGAACATATTTCAGCACAGTTTTACATGGGAGAAAGGAAGTGTGTGCGAAGCTCTATTCTATAACACCTGATTGACTCGTGTCATTCTGCCAACCATGATTTTAAGATCATCTACCGAATCCATGCAAACTTGCCACGTTTTCTTCGTTACAGACTTCTAAAGACAGTGGAGGCCTTGTCAGTTCATGATTTTAAGCAAGACCTTTGTGTACAAAAGAAGCATGTACCATGCCTACTTCTGTTTTGGATATAGATGGATATACATTTATTTATTTGTGTATTTTGTTTATTTACTTATTCTTTATTTTTCTTTTCTTTCTTTTTTCCTTCACGTTCCCCAGTGGAATATAGGGCTTCAAGCTAGTGAAGTTTCTGTAGCAGTGTTTGTATTACAGGATGGGGTTGATAGCCTCCTGCCAAACCTTTCCTCTTCACTAGCTTTTATTTCTGGCTTAGCGAGGTAAAGGAGTGCGCCGGCCGGGGATCGAGCCCCGGACCATGTGCATGGTCGGCGAGCGTCCTAACCGCTATGCTAG